AGTTCATGGTTGGCCTTAGCTCCACAAGACCTTGTCTCAAAACAAAGAAACAAACAAACACAAAGTAAGTGAAACACGCTCCATTGAGATCACCTCATGGCCTAGGCCAAATTTCCTAACTTCAGTTGTTACCTCACCCCAAAGTCCCAAGCCCCTTCTCTAGCTTCCCTGTCCACTGGTTTGTGACATCTGTGATTATAACAGTCATGTGTAATCTTTGAGAATTTATCAAACCTTTTCAAATGTTTTACTTTTCAAAAAAACATTTTTAATGTCGGCATGGGGGTGCATACCTTTAATCCCAGCACTCAGGAGACAGAGGCAGGGGGAATCTCTGAGTTCAAGGCCAGCCTGGTCTAAATAATGATGTCCAGGACAGCCAGAACTGTGTAGAAAAACCCTGTCTCAAAAAAAAAATTTTTTAGTTAACATACAAAATAATGGGCTTCATTAAATCACTTCCATGTGGATAGGTTGTTATATTTTTCCCAATCACTCTCCCCATTATCCTCCCATATCCACCCCCCTTATCTTTTACAATCATTCCCTTTGTGCCAGGCCAGTCGGAAATACATGGTGGACCCTGTTACCCCTCCTACAGTGATGGGGAAAAGGACAGATGATATTCATAAATTGCTTACCATGAATTTGATTCCCAGTACCCACATAAGGGCCAGGCACAGTGGCATGCATCTATAGTTCCAACACTGGGGAGGTGGAGACAGGAGGATCCATGGGACAAGGTGGCCAGTGAGTCTAGCTAAATTAATGAGCTTCATGTTCTGTAAGAGGCCTTGTCTCAAAAACTAGAGAGTTGGCAAGATGGCCCAGTAGGTAAAGGTACCTGCCACCAAGGCTGACAATCTGAGCTCCATTCCTGGAACCCACATGATGAGAGGAGAGAACCAACTTCTGCAAACTATCCTCTGACCCCCAGAAGCACACTGTGGCATGCATGCATGCATGCGAGCACATGAGCAAGTGTGTTTGATGTACATGTGAACACACACACACATGCACACAAACAGGGGAATGTAATTTAAAATATTTTTGAATGAATAAGTAAATACAAAATAGGAAGAGAGAAGTTGAGGAATACACCTACTAAACATTGACCTCTGGCCTCCACTTGCGTGCATGCATACACACACACACACACACACACACACACACACACACACACACACATACACACACACACACACACCCCCAAGGGTTAAGGGTGTAGCTCAATTGGTAGAGTGCTTGCTTAGCACACATAAAACCCTGACTTCAATCTCCAGCACCACATTAACTAGGTATGGTGGCATATAACTACAACCTCATGAAGCTTTCATGAAGCAGAGGAAGGGAGATCAGAAGTTCAATAACAGCTCTAGAAACACAAGACTGCTGTGGGATGTTCTGTATGGCAAATGTGTTGCTGATTAGTCAATAAATAAAACACTGATTGGCCATTGGCTAGGCAGAAAGTGTAGACGGGACAAGGAGAAAAATAAAGCTGGGAAGTGGAAGGCTGAGGGAGAGACACTGCCAGCCGCCATGATGAGAAACAGCATGTGAAGATGCCGGTAAGCCACGAGTCATGTGGCAAGGTATAGATTTATAAAAATGGATTAATTTAAGCTGTAAGAACAGTTAGCAAGAAGCCTGCCACGGCCATACAGTTTGTAACCAATATAAGTCTCTGTGTTTACTTGGTCGGGTTTGAGCGACTGTGGGACTGGCAGGTGAGAGAGATTTGTCCTGACTGTGGGCCAGGCAGGAAAACTCTAGCTACACAAGACCCTACCTCAAAAAACAAAACAAATTCCACTGTGTAAATGCATCACATTTTCTCCTTTTTTCTTTTTCCCCCTTTGAGAACAGAGTCTTATATATTCTAAAATGACCTTAAACTTGCTAGATAGCCAAAGATGACAGTATTACCTTCAACTCCTGATCCTCCTGCCTCTACCTCCCAACTTCTGGGATTACAGGCATGTACCACTATAACCAGTTTTTTGTTTTTTGTTTTTTGTTTTTTTAATATGGTACAAGCAATTAAACCCAGGGAGGTTTTTTGTTTGTTTGTTTGTTTGTTTTTTTTGAGACAGGGTTCCTCTATGTAGCCCTAGCTGTCCTAGAACTCACTCTGTAGACCAGGCCAGCCTCGAACTCACAGAGATCCACCTGACTCTGTCTCCCTTAAACATCACCTGTCAAGGGCTTTTTCAATGAATAGCATTTGCTATGTTGAAGAAATTTCCTTGGACTCTGGTTTGTTGAGCTTTATCCCAATAAGGCCCTGGGTTTTTTCAAATGTATGTGTGTGTGTGTGTGTGTGTGTGTGTGTGTGTGTGTGTGTGTGTGTGTGCCTTTCGAGATGAACATGAACATGTATATTTTATCCTTAGCTATCATGCTATATTGCATGAATTAATAATTGATTTTTTTGGGACTCCAGAGATTGACCAGCGGTTAAGAGCACCACTGGCTACTTTTCTAGAGAGCCAGAGTTTGATTCCCAGCAGCTATATGACATCTCACAACCATCTGTAACTCCAGTCCCAGGGGATCTAATACCCTCTTCCAGCTTCCATGAGCACCAGGCACTGAAGTGGTATACACACATATATGCAGGAAAAACACCCATACATATAAAATAAAAATAAATTTTTAAAATAATTGATTTTTCATGTCAAAACAACTTTGCATTAATGCAGTAAGTCCCCACTGGTATGCAATTACTAGTAAGTAGTTCTTTTTATGTGTTTCTGGGTTCCATTTGCTAGTATTTTGTTGATGGATTTTGTGTCTATATTTGTAGATGTTTCGTTCATATGATAGTGGTCTGTAGTTTTATTGTGATGTCTTTCTTTGGTTTTTTGTATTAAGATAATACTAGCCTCAGAATGAGCTGAAGGATATTCTTGTTTCCTTTTACTTTTCTCCTTGTTTTGTTTTGAAGACAATGCCTCACTGTAGCCAAGATTGGCCCAGGTCTCACTGTATAGTTTAGGCTATCCTCTGATTGGTCATGGTGATCTTCTTATCTCAGTCCCTCAAATGCTGGTGGGTGAAAGCAAGAGGGTTAGGAGTCCAAGGCCAGTTTCAGAAACATAGTGATTTAGAGGCTAGCCTAGACCGCATGAGAGCCTGTCTCAAATGAAACGGTACAGTATTAGAGGCAGGCATGGTGTTCTGTACTTTCAATCCCAGCACTTAGAAAACAGAGGCAATAGGATCACCACAAGTTCATGGCCATCCTGGCCTACATTATGAATTCCAAGCTAGCTAGGGCTATATAGTGAGATTATGCCTCCAAAAAAATGGTATACTTAAGACTCTAACTACTGTTGAATTGCATGAACTTCTCCTTTCAGTTCAGACCAGTTTTTACATCATGTGTTTGGGACTCAATTGCTGGGTGCCTGCACTGTGTTTTTGTCCTAACTGTAAGTGTTAGTGAAAAGTAACACTGACTCATTGATCTGGCCTTGTCAAACTGGAGTTGGAAAAGCATTTAAAGTTTTATTTTCCAATACTTGGCCACCATGATGACTAGCTATACGAATTCTGAAGTCTCTCCAACCTGGACTCAATCTCAGGTTGCCACTTACAACCCATATGACCTTAAGTAAATCATATAACCATTTAAGTCTGTTTCTTCCTCTGTTAAATGGGGATATTGATACCTGCCTCACTGGTTGTGAAAACAGAATTGGAATTATATGTAACTTATCCTGTTTTAGTCTATTTGTTTGTTTGAGACAGGGTCATCTGAATCCCAGGCTGGTTTCAAATTCACTATGTAGCCGAGAACTACCTTGAACTCCTTATTATTCTGCCTGTACTTGCCAAGAGCTGGGATTATATCATGCCCAGCTTTGCAATGGCTTTTCACTTGTCTGCTGATAGCAGAGGAAGCTGGCATTGTATGAGTATAGTCTCATGCATGATGTGGGATGACTTCCCAAAACAGCGTGATAGAGAAGTCACTCAGAGATAGAATTTGCTGTGGATAGGGCACAGATGCACATACCTGCTATCAAGAGCTGTTGCTAAGAGCATTTTACCACCTGTAGTGGCCTTGCATGAACACAGGACGGTAATAAGCTTTGAAGGGCTGTAAGAATCATGCCTCATGCTCATTCCACATACCACACCCCACCATACCTCCCTTACACACTACAAATTCTGATGGCCAGAATTTGACCAGTAATCCTTTTAATGCTTCTGGGCTCCTGGCCATAGGCAATTTTGAAATGTAAATTCTTGAGACTGGTACTAGCCAGGCTGGGGGTTTGTCTATTTAATTTTGATTTTTTGTTTGTCTGCTTGGTTTTTGAGACAGCCTCATACCATAGCCCAAGCTGGAGCTTACTGTGTAGCCTAGGCTAGCCTCAAACACATAGCAGTCCTTCTCCATCAGTTTTCTAAGTGTTAGCCGCCATGCTCAGCTTGTACTGACCAGTTTAACACCTTCTCAGTAAACACAGTAACTTCTCGTATCAATTTCTTGGACTGGAAGAGATCCAAGATAACAGGAAAGCTACAGAGTACTGGCAGTAGGTATGGCTTCCCAAAGGGATGGGGGCAATAACAGAAACAGGAACAGATCTCAAAGTAACATGGAACAAACCTCACCTCCTTAGGTATGTTTCCAGTGGACTGCCAAACAAGCCATATCCGTGGAAGAATCCTGTGGTACCTGACATTAAACCATGCTTTTTCCCTTTTCAGGGTTGATGAGGCTTTTGCATCTCTGGCCATCACATTCTATTCACTCTGCTTTCAGTATCAGCAGTGACATGGTCCATCCGTTCTCCTCTACCTAATCTCTAGCAGCCAGGCGAAGCGCTCCCCACCCACACACACACCCCCCCCTCTCTCTCAGTATCTGTCATCCAGTCACACTGCACATGGGCCAGAGATGCCAAAGGGGCTCTGCTACGATCCTCAGCAGCAGGCTCATCTAGAGCAGCAGGTTCATCTGTGCATTCTCTTTTTGGGTTTAGATCACATGCACAGTACCCACCGCCCTGTCACTGGAAGCCACCTGGGGAAAAAGGAGAGTAGTTATGTGGGCAGCGTGGGCACCAGCCCTAGGAAGTCGAGCCGATGCACGACCCCGCCTGCCGACTCTGAGCTTGTCAGCTTCTGCTACCTCCACATGCGGGAACAAAGGAAGGAGCAAGAAAGCAGGACGGATGTCAACGAGAACCTAATCTTCTTCGAAGAAACCAGACCCCGGACCAAATCGGACCCCACATCCAAAAGCTCTGGCCAAGGTTATGAGGTGATTCCCGATGACTTTGATGCAGCCAGCCTAGACCATGAGCCTTGTGCCAGCAGGGCCCGGTCCTACACTTTGGACAATTCCCTTGGGGCTGAAGCCCTGAATTTCTACTGTGACTCTTGCAAAGTCAAACTCCAGGAGCAGCTGGGGCCTCGAAAAGGTGGGAGGCCTGGCTCCTCTCGAGACAATATGGTAGACTTAATGTCCCTCCCACCGCCAGGAAGTGAGGAAGAGGAGGAAGAGGAAGATGAGACAACTTCTCTGTTGCCAGCCATTGCGGCCCCACCTCCTGGTTTCCGAGACAACAGCTCTGATGAGGATGATCCCAAGCGCAGGGCTGTTCAAAGTCAAGAGCAAGGACGTCACCTGCGTGGGCTCCTGTATGATGAGATTCCAGTGACACTGATTGACAGCGTACAGACCCGAACAGTACGAGATCATGCCCAGGAACTGGATGATGCACTGGTGTCTACTCTGCAGGCTCTGGAAGCCCTGGCTGCTTCAGAGGATGGACCCCACCCCCCACCCCCACAGACTGCAGGTAATAGCCCATTCCTCCTTCCTCTTGCCCTCTTCCTTCTTCTGGTCCAGGAATGTCCAGTAGGCAGCATTGCTTCTTTTCCCTCAGTTGTTTAAGTGACTATAGTATATCAAAGGCAATGAATTGGCACCAATAGTTCAGGACTCAAGAGAAAGGAAGCTACAGAGCAGAGATGTGGTTCAGCTCTAGTTAGAGCTCTATCCCTCATGATTTCGTATCTCTGGACAGATATTGCAGATGAAACTCACTCCTATAGATGGAGGCCAGGGTTGAGGAACAGGAATCTAGAAGAGACACAGAAAACAGACAAAGAACAGCAGCATGCTCCAAAAGTCCAACTAATTTCCAAAATGACCTGTGATCAAGACAGCCAAGAGCCATCTCTACTCAAGGATGGGGTCTTCAGCCTATCTGAGAGCATGATCTCTGAAGCAGAGGCAACAGAATCCCAGTTTCTTTACTCATGGCAAGGCACTTCCTCTCTTCTGTGTGTCCTACAGCAATTGCATCACAGAGCATGCAGATGCAATGACATCACTCAGACAGAACACTTAAGCACTACCTCGCACACAGTGAGGGCCCAGTAATCAGTAGCTACCTCTGTTAACTGTTAATTGGTAGGAGAACCATGTTACATGTTTGTTACTCTCTATTATAGATGCATGAAAATCCATCTGCTGAAAGGCACACATATGTACACACACACACACACACACACACACACACACACACACACACACACCTTTTCTAAAAGAGAAACACAGCAACAATAATGACAAACCAATACAGAGGCATAAGAAATATTAACAAGCATGTGAGTCAGGGGCAAGTATGGACAGAGCAGGGGAAGGGACTGAGATCCAAGGGAGCCTGTCTTTTCTATACATGAGGGATCCCTTGTCTTTGGGTACCCCTTGAATGTTTGCCCCCAACCCAGGCTGTCATTTGTGTTCACTCATCATTGGGTGCTCCAAAACTAGTTGGTTCCAGGTCCAAGGCCTACGAGGCCACCGGAGAGAGAAGCTCAACTAAATGGCCTCAGCTGCAAGGACTGTAGACAGGCTGGCCAGATGAGGAGGAACAGAACAGCACCTTTCTTTGCCAACTCTCTTCAGGACAATTAACAGAAATTTCCTAGCTGTTGAATCTAAAAATAGCATTGATTGGCATGTTGTTTTACATGTTAACTTACCACCAAACTGCCCAGATCTTCTTCTTTTCTGTTATTCCTTTTTTTGGATTCCAACCTTTCACACCCCCTTCTCACATCCCGTTCAGCTTTGTGTGTGCTTCTTGACTCCTCCCCCTCAGCCCTACAGTTTGCTCAGGCTTGACTGGTTTTCTCCAGCTTGAAATACTGCTGCTACCTACCACTTCTCCATGAACACTCTAGATATGGTGAGAAAAGACCTCGATGCTAGTAAATGTGACAAATCCCATTCTTGTTCCTCCAGGTCTGATTGTGCTGGCCACAATCACTCCTGAATCATCGCTAGACTCGGGCCATGAAACCAACTCTTCAGAGCTCACAGATATGTCGGAAATGATGTCGGCCATGAAGCAGCACCAGAACACCACCTACTTCCTGGCCCAGCACCTCAACAAGGACAGCCTCCTTGCCCGAAAGGACCTGCCCTTCAGGATCCAGAGCTGTGCAGCTCAGGCTGTTCTCACCGCCCCTTATGCCCTTGGGCCCCCAGATCCCAACCCATCCCTTCAGCCAGCTGTCACTGGCCAGAGTCCTGGCCCCCCTGGCGCTCGGAGAAAGCTGCCTCAGTCAGAAGCCCAGGTGCAGGGAGAGAGAACATACTCCCTGGCAGTGCACCCAGCACTGTCCCCACAGCTTAGTGAGCAGAAGAATCTGAGCTTGCTTCCCCCAGTTCCTGAGGACAAAGGCCCAGGTCACACTAGGGCAGGCCTAGAGATGTCACTGAGGGCAGCCACACCATCCCTCAGTGAAGAGCAGGTCTCCGAGCTAAGGGAAAACTTGCCCAAGGAAGTCAGGTTGAGCCCTAAGCTTATCCTGGACCCAAAAGGCAATGTGACCCCAGCTATAATCTCGGCTGCCCTACAGCAGGTAGTACACAGTAAGAGTCTAGCTACTCCTGGCACAGCCTTGGCAACACCCTCCAACAGGGGTGAGAGACGGCTGGAGGCTGGCATGGGGAGGCCTGAGGTCACCATGGGCAGGCCAGAAGTTAGCCTGATGAGCAGCAGCGCCAGCAAGAATCTGAAGTTTAAAATGAGCCCTGGTGCTCCGGAGACCACACGGAATTCTCAGCCGCAGCTGGGCCCCGAGGTCTCTGTCAGCCCCAGAGCATCCACAAGCCGCCGGGCTGACAACCTCCACCTTTCTCCACAAGAGGACAGGTTTCCTGTTCAGAGCTTCCCTCCTAAGAGCTATCTATCCAGAGCGAGTCGAGACTCGGTGGGCAAGCAAGCTACTGGGGAGATGGCAGGCAAAGGTGGGCTAGAGGGTGCTAAGCCTCCCCCTACCAAGCAGAGCACAGTCTCTGGCCAGGGGGAGAAAGGGCAGCTGGAGAGCACATCCAAAAGCAGCAAGCTTGAGGAGACCAGCCTGGTCCCCCGAGCCGGCTATCCCATGGCTCTGCAGAGCCCAAGCTGCCAGGCTCGAAGCCACAGCCCTAGCTGCCAGGCTCGAAGCCACAGTCCCAGCAGCCAATCCCGTGGCCCGAGCCCCAGCTGCCAACCTAGAGGCCAGAGCCCACTGAGGCCTCTGGCCACCAGCCGGCAGGTCAGCACCATGCCCTCTAGGAAGCTTGAAACAACCTTGGATGGAGCCCACTCAGCCTCTGAAGGCCCCACAAAGCCCAAGTCATCCCGAGGTCCTTTCCGACTGCGCAACTTATTCTCTGCCACCTTCCCTACACGCCAGAAGAAAGAGACAGATGAGCGGCAGGCCCAGCTGCAGAAGGTAAAGCAGTATGAATTGGAGTTCCTTGAGGAACTTCTAAAGCCACCAAGCCAAGGGGAGCTCCCAGGCACAGAGTACCTGCAACCTCCAGCACCTGGTCGCTGTAGCTGCCAGCTACGCAGTAGCCCTGTTCAGCAAGGACCTGGCATGTCTCGTGAACAGAGACGCAGCTGTGACTGCAAGCGCATCTGCCGAGGGGGACGGCCTCAAGCTGCCCAGACCCCAGTGCCTGGCCTCCGGGAGAGGGAGAAGGTCCCCCCTACCCAGAGGCAGCCAGAGGCTGGCCCAGGTTTGAGCCTTGGTAGTCCCATTAATATCCAGCGCATCCGTTCCACCAGCCTGGAGTCCCGTGAGTGCCGGTCAGACCCTGAGAGTGGCGTTTCTTGTCTGGCCACATGTGCCTCAGGGGGTGAGTGTTTGGGAGATCCCAACTACAGGAAACTGATGCGCCGCTACAGTATCAGCGAGCTGGACCAGGGTGACAGTGCCTCACTGACCTCAGATGTCTACCCGCACCCACCCTTGGGAATGCTGCCTAGAGAGGTCAAGGAGATAGATACAGGCCTCCCACTAGTCTTGGGTCCAAAAGGCAGGTGTGCAGAGTCACCAACTCTAGGAGACCCCTCCTACGTCCAAGTGGCCCCTGAGAGCAAGGGCCCCAGGCAGATGGCTGTGTTTTCACTGCCAGAGGAGGTGTACCGGAGGCCAGCTGATCTAGATGAGGACAGTGAGAGTAGCAAGTGCTGTTCCATCCGCTACTGCTTCTATTACCGCAAGTGTGACATGGCCGATGATGCCAGTGATGGCAAGGATGAGCTCTCCTATTCCATCCCCATGAAGATTCTGCCTGGCATGAAGTTGGATGAGCAGGTGGTGCCTGTGGTGAGCAGAACCCTGCAAGTACTGGATGCTGCCACCTGCAGCAGCAGCCCGGAGGCCTCCCACACCCAGGAGATCGACCTTCGGGTTTCCACCTTTGAGGGGAGCCTGGCTAAAATCAATGCGCTACGGGCCCATGCTTATGGCCTCCCTGATGGCTTCCTGGCTGCCCGTCTGGACACCAATGAGCTGCTGACCGTCTTGCGGCAGTGTGTGGCCAGCCCCGAGGCCCGTGCCCCCAAGCCCTATGTCTCTCAGATTTCTGAGTACAAGCTTGAGCTAGCTCTCAAGTTCAAGGAGCTCCGGGCCTCCTGCCGCCGAGTAGCCAACGTGGACAAGAGCCCGACTCACATGCTGGCAGCCATCACAGGCAGCTTCCAGGTGCTGAGCAGCCTCATTGAGACCTTTGTGCGGCTGGTGTTCATCGTGCGTTCTGAGGCCCAGCGCCAGGAGCTGCTGGCCAAAGTAGAAGAGGTAGTGAGGAATTACACCTTCCTGCTGCGTGCCGCTGAGGAGTCCACAGCCCGGAACCTTAACCAGCAGCAGCAGCAGCAGCAGCAGCAGCAGCAGCAGCAGCAACAGCAACAGCAACAACAGCAGCATCAGCAGCAGCCGCAACCGCTGCCACCGCTGCAGCTGCCAGCAGCCACAGGGCACCCACCAGGCTCCCCATCATCGACTGTTATGAGCACATTCACACACTCCTTAAAAACCTTTATTAAGTAGGGCACTTGCCCAGGCTTGTCCCCTCCCCATCCGTGGCCCCAAGTTTGAGCTTTGTGGTCTTTGCATTCTCGTGGTGAGTGTGTGTGTCTGCTGGGCCAGTCAGGGTCCAATAGCCTAACAGTCTCCAAGGAGTAAAAAAGCTCCCTAGACTAAGGCTCTCTATTAAGGGCTGCAGGCTTAGCTGCCGCCCTGGGTGTCTTCACCCCTTACTGGCCTCTGGGCGTCACTGTGAGGGCAAAGGCCCCTCGCCATTACGCCCACCACAGAACTGTCTTTTCTCTCTTCTCTGGGGCTGATAGGTGACATCAGGTTCACCTTCCGCTCTGAGCTGGGCACGGGAGGAGCCAGGACCTCGAGCTCCTCCTAGCATCTGCTGCCCCACGGAGGGCAGTGGCAGCAACAGTAGGCCACAGCGCCGAGCCAAGGAGAGAGGGCGCTCGTTCCGTACGCGCCCACCCACCATGGGTTCCCTTGTAGCTGGCAGGAGCCACCTCAAGGGCCAGTGCCCAGGTAGGATACGTGCAGAAGACAGCCAGGTCGGGCTGTCAGTGGCTAGCTCAACAGGCTGGCAGCCTTGGGAGCCCTTGCCCCCAGGTTCAGTAGCTCCACACCAGCCATCCCCAAAGTGCCCTGCCCCTCACTGATGGGCAGGGCAGCTCAGTCCACTAGGGAGCAAGCCTCTGAGATCACCTCACTTGTTTTGAGTAAGGTACCTGGTGAAAATGTCTGCTCTGGGGAGACCCAGTGCAGGTATCAGCGCCTGCCCGGCTCAGCCCAGTCATGTGCAGGAGCTGTTGCCTGAGGCATGTGGCTCCTCTCTCAACATCTCTACCAGATAGACTGTCCTTAGTTTGACAAGTAGCTACGGATTGGGATGGGGGGTGGGGGGAGGGGGGGAGGGGTGGGGGTGTTGATGACTATATCTTAAACTTCTGGAAGCTAGCGTGATATGTTAATCCTGAGTATATGCTTTTGGCTGTGTATTGACCCTGTGGATTTGTCTCTCTAAGAAAAGAAGCTGAGCGCCTTACCCGGTGCACTCCTGCACCTCTCTCTCCCTCTCTGGAACCATCTGGAAGGGAATTCACACTGTTTAGCATCCTTCTTGACACTCACCTATTGCCGCTGCTTCCACCACCACCACCACCGCTGTCGCCACCGCTGCCGCCGCTGCTGCCATCACCCCCTGCCCCCAGCCCTTCTGGGAGTGAAGACACGGAGTCCCTACAGTTACCCTACTGTAGGGGACAAAGAAAGCCAATGTTTCTTCTGTATAGATTGCTTCTTGTCCACTTCTCCATAGCTGCTTGTTTCCTACACCCTCCCACCCAGTGTCGGTCTCTCTTTCATCTCTGTGTGTGAGGCCTATGTGAAATCCCTCGTTCTTACGTGAGTTTTATAAGATGTACACTGTGCCGAGCCCCTGCCTAGCCTTGGTGATCCCAGTGCAATAAAGCCTCCTGAGTGGCAAGGTCTCCCAGCAAGGAGGAGGGGCACCCTTCTACAGAAGCCAGCCCCCCCCTTCCTTGCCTCTCCTCCCACAGGACCAAGATGTTTAATGGGCCAGAGATGCAGCCAGTGGGGGAACCCTTTCCCCCACGACCACTGCCAGCCGAGGTCTGGCACGGTCTTCCTCGTCTCCCAACTTCTTGATCCTACGCCTTCGCCACGCAGACTCTGCCTGTCTCATCTCACTGCGGTCATTCACCTCTCCCTCAGCCTCACGGAGAGGGATCATTTTCTAATGTCTGTATATAGTATATATACTACATAAATATATAAATTCTATATATTACACTAATTTATGTCTTGTTTTTCCAACAAGAATGATTAAATCGATTCATCTTATGATCCCAAGAAGTCTTTGTAGTGCCTTTCTGTGGATGTCCTTGTGTTCTTGAATTGGTGGTTGGGAGCAGTCCTTGTTTCTCTTTGTCCCCTGGTACATGGGCCGGTTGGGTGTTGAGAGCTAAAGAGCCCACTCCTCCCATGCCCCTCCCACACACAGTGGATCCTCCTTGTTTCTCTTAGAAAACACTTGATGGCCACAAATGTAAGATGTTTCCCATTTTTTATTGGCCATGGAACCCCTGGTTTATCTGGCCCCTACAGCTGTGACCCCAAAAATGAAGGGTTAAGGCCAGACAAAAACACAATGTGCTCCATTCCCAGTGGATCAAAGAGTCTGGGAGTTAGGGGACCAGTTCTGAGGCCAGCTCTTAGTCTGATCTTCCGACATTTGGGATGAGGAATCTCCTGCAACGGCCTCTGGCAGATTTTGCAGTCAGGGGTGGGGGGTGGGGTTTAAATAGGATAGAAGTATCAGGATCCCAAGCACTGCCAACCTCTAGCTCTTCAGAGCTAGGTAACATTAAGAACTCTTTACTCAGCCATGTGGTGGTGACGCATTCCTTTAATCCCAGTACTTGACAGACAGAGGCAGGCAGATCTCTGTGAATTCAAGGCCAGCCTGGTCTACAGAGTGAGTTCCAGGGCAAGCTCCAAAGCTACACAGGAAACCCTGTCTCGACAAACAAAACAAAAAAGACAGCTCTTTACTTCCTCCTGGCCTCTTTGTTTCTTCCATTAAACCCGGGTTCCCAGTCGTCTCTGGGATGCCTTTGCACAAATGCAGGCAGGTTATCCCACTGCACGCTTACCCAGGATGAGGTAGAAAAACCTCCTTCTGGGTGATGATAACCCCAAGGTCACATGACCTGGTAATTTCGACCCCATCCAGCCCTATTGCCTTGTTGACACCATGTACAGTGGCCCTGAGGAGTCACACACACACACACACACAAAAATCTTTCTCGAACAGATTTCCTTTCAGTGTGTCTGCAGAGGTCCTGGCTAAAAGGCGTGGAAGCAAAGGATTGAAAAAGGAGGATCTGGAGGCAGCACAATCAGCTTGGGCCAGTCTGCAGATTCACCCATGTATGTGTGGGAGAAATCATGGACACTAATAGCAGAGCTCTTCTGGATGCTGCCTCTTAGACACCAAGGTTTGGATTTAGTGGAATGCTCATATACAGTGAAGCTAGATGACACCCAAAATGAGTGTCAGGCCCTGTACCAATCATACTGCCAGGGCCTGGTGATGTTACTCGGTTCTGTGCTATTCGAAAAGAGCACACTCTCCTTTGGGAATCAGTAGTCCACGGTAGTGCAGTGAGACATGGCTGTGCAGTCGGGCATCCTATTAGAAGAAGAGGTGGGGGTTGGAGTTGGAGTTTAGTTGGTAGAGTACTTGTTAGCATGCGCAAAGCCCCAGGTTTGATGAATCGTCAGCACTGTATAAAACCTGGGCATAGGGGCTGGAAAGAGGGCTCAGCAGTTAAAAGCAGAGGGCCAGAGTATAGTTCCCCAGCACCCATGTCAGGTGCCGCCTAGTTTAATTGGTGAGTTCTAGGCCAACCAGGGCTGTAGAGACAACCCTGTTTGAAAGTAAAACACTGCAGGTGTTGAACCTATAAACCAGTAACCCATCAATTCAGCTGAGTTTAACCAAGTACTTCCCCACACTTCTGAAACTCTCCTAAGGTGACTATTGATCTCACTTTCTGTGGACCCCAGGCCACTCCCTGCAGGAGCTTGGAGCACTTCCTGGCCATCTTCAGCTGGAACTGGGACCTGGAGCTGATGCTTCCCAAGCGCCCAAGGCGACTCTTTCAGAACCTGACTCCTGTCTTTCTGACTTCAGCCAATTAAGTAAAAATGTGTTCAGACACTTGGCAGGGGCCCAGAGTGCTGGTGGGGCTGGCACGGTTACATTTTTTTTCAAGCTGTTGTCAAGACATTGTGGATAATAGGCAATTTCATCAGCTATGAATTGAAAAGACCTGCCTCAGCCAGAACTTTTGCTGCCAAAAGAATAGGAGAGAATCAATTGCCAGAACTGGAAAGGGGTGTTCTTTTATAACTTAGGATCAAATTTCTCCCCCCAGCCAATAGGATGGGAGTAATAACTCTATCCCCTTCCCCATTCTGAACCTGAAAGCCAGATGGGAGTGAGCATCTAGAGTAAGGAGAACATCTTCCCTGGAGCAGGAGAAAGTGAGTTTTGAGAGTTCTGTTCTGGGTCTATGAAGGTCTCTCCAGTGGAAAGTCCCATCCTGCTGCAAACCACAATTAGGTGGGAATGATGAAGGTGTGCCTTCTCACAGGGACAGACGGCTTGTTTTATTGGCATCGGTGCTGCCAGTGAGTCCCAAAGGCACCCACATATCCACGTACCAAGTTCTCCATGAAGACATGCCCTGGTAGTTTTCAGTCAGACCTACCCCTCAGGGGTGAGCTCACATGCAGCTTCCCTGTTCTCTTGCCTGTGATGTCCTAGGTGTGGATGGCTTATTCTTATTTCCTTCTTCAACACACACACGCGCACACACATGCGTGCGTGTACACACACACACACACACACACACACACACACACACACTTGAGGAACAGCAAGATGCCTCAGTGGGTGAAGGCATTTGCTGCCCGATCTGGTGACCTGAGTTTGATCCCTAGGACTTATATGGTGGAAAGAGAGAACTGAATCCCACAAGTTTTCCTCCCACCTCCACACACACCAAGACACCTGAGTACAGGAGTGCCCACAGGTGTACAGAGAGAGAGAGAGAGAGAGAGAGAGAGAGAGAGAGAGAGAGAGGGAGGGAGGGAGAATTAATAAAAATTATCCCTGCCCTTACATTTGAAGGGAAAAAAAACTGTGCATGAACATTTGCCATATGCTAGGCACCCGCCTAAGTACTTTACATGCATGATCTCTTTTAATTTTAATTTTAATTTCACAACACTCCTATGAGAGAGGCGATAATCATCTATCTCTATTTCTCAGAGAAGAAAATTGAAGCCCAGAGAGGTTTAGTCACTATCTCAAGGTCCCACAGATAGTAAGAAGACAGTCAGTCAGTTTTTCTACACAGCCCACACAGCAGCTTTCCACTGCTGCTCCACGGTACTCCGCCTGGCCCCACATGTGAAGCATCCCCATGGATACAGAGTCATGGATGCTGCCACATTCATTGGAAAATGGCGTGTAATTGTTGCTCTGGGTCTAGGTGATTGTAGCAGGTGTAGATAACCATAGAGTGTGAACTGCAGGATGCTGGGAGCCTGCCTGCCTCTCTCTACTGCCCCTGACCTCTCTCTACCCGCCTGTGCTTGTGCCACTTGCCTTTCACAGAGCCGGGGTGATGCAAGCTTATGGGCATGGTCATTTGTGAATATAGTAATTGTGTCGTCCAAAGCCACACTCAAAATGGCATGTGAGTTTCCGGGTAGTCCCTTACCCTCTCCCATCTGCCCACTTATGATCCTTAACCTGGGCTCTGAGTTTCCAAGGGTATATGACAGTATGCTGGCTGACATATCCAAGCACCATACATACTTAGTGTGGCTCATATTCCTGACACATGAGGTTGTCTCAAAAGATCTGGAAGAAAAATATCATTTGGTAGGTCAGGCTGGCCTCGAACTCACAGAGATTAACCTGCTTCTGC